GAGGCTCTTAAAATGATTACCAAATTATAATTATTTTTTTCTGTAAGTTAGAAATATGAATTATATTCAGCTAGCTAAGCCATGTGATAGTTCAGCATTGTGGCTCTTTTCACTTAGCTGGCCTTTCAGTCTATTTATTCCAGAGATGCAATTAGAGCACGTGAGGGCCTCTGAAAAAGCAAGGGCCTGTATTGATTTCAGGAAATAAAAAATTTGCATGACAATACAAATTCTTCCAGCACATGGGGCAGGCTGAAGTCATCACTTTCCAGCTGTCATTACTATATGAAATCAGCTAAATCTTATCATTTGACTGTGGTGTTAGTGTATTTTCACCTGAAATATAAGGCAACCAGGATTTACAATCAGAAAGTGTCAGCTTTTCAGACAGATTTGACAATAGCATTTCATTTACACTGTGATCCACTTTTTCGCTTTGTGAGGTACAAATCACATCAAAATTGGAAGCAGCCTAGATACTTTTTTTTGTTTTTAAGTAATCTCTTCACCCAACATGGGGCTCAAACTCACGACCCCTGAGATTGAGTCACATGCTCTCCTGACTGAACCAGCCAAGTGCCCCTCCAGCCTAGATACTCTTAAAGCAATTCTGCCTATCTTTAATGTAAAAAGTGAATAATTAAAGATCAATGTAAGTTGCTAATCCCTTTTCATCTGCCTCCTCTCCCCACTCATCTGTGGAATTTCTTTGAGATCACCAATGAGCAACTTCCTGCCAAGTGGCTCAGTATAGGCTTTGGGGTCAGACCATGTGCTTTCCAATCCCACCTGCACCTCTTGTTAGCTGAGGGGCTAGGGCAAATTAGCTCACCCTCTGTACCTCAACTTCCTCATTTGTAAAATGGAATGATAACAATGACACACCTCATAGAATTGTGGAGCATTAAATAACATATTAAATATACTGGGGGTATTGCATTGCACAGTGCAAGGGAGTACAATTCACATTGCGTTCTCTGTGGAATTGTGCAAAATGGCAGATTTATGTGCAAAGTACTTATAGCAGTCCCAGATACAAATAAGCATTCATTTAGTAATCATTTTTCTGTGGAATTTATAATCTTCCCTCTTTCTTGGAATTCTTTAGCTTTCCTGAACGTCACTTTTCTGTTTCCCTTCCTGGGGCACTATCCAAAACACCTGATTTGGGCTGGAATCATAGCAGTACAGAATTGCTAGAAGATCAAGTTTGAAGTAAGGGGTGGTAGGAGATGAGG